CCCCAAAACCCCAAAACCCCAAAACCCCAAAACCCCTTTAATCTCAAGGAAAATTGACAATTTTATACATTATTCAAAACTTGGATCATTTTGAGGCAACACGTAGCTATTACTCGGCCTATTTTGTATCTTTGAGAAGTCTAGCCTATACGGCATCCTCGATGTCAATGGCGGCGGAATTCCTGATGCTATTTCATAGCTTCTCTCGCTCAGTTCTATTATTCTTGAAGAATTCTGTCTCACCTTACTTTCCTCTTGAGGCATAGGGTTTTTATAAATACCTTCTTGAGCGAATATTTTAGGTCGCTTGATTTCTTTCTGAGTCTTTTCAATAGACTTTAAGATTCTTTCTACATCTAGCTTTTTGTTGACTGCTTCTTTTTCGCTCATATAAATATTAAGCTTCCTTCTTCTTTGCCATTTGACACATCATGAGAATATTCGTGAAAGTAGAGGTAAGAATAAAATATCTGCACAGAGAAATTTCGACGAGTATCTCTCCTTGTCATATGGACTCTTCTCTACCTCTTGTTTCGGTGATGCCTTGTCCTGTTCAGGCAAATAGGGATTATCTGGGATCGATATGTTTGCATGATCGTTTGTAGATATTGGACTAGGTGAACCTATGTTTTATTAATAACTTTAGATCTCATTTAACTGTACCCATTTGAGATGATTGAAAAGATCTAATCAAGTTTGTTAATACTGAACTTAAACTTATCTTAACAGCCAAAAATAACTTCGAAGAAGAGCACGGAACAAAATGAAGAGAAGTGTGCAGTATTACAGCCAGGTAGACTGAAATCTTTCTCTAATAGTTGGCAAATTATAAACAACTAACTCCGATCTTCTTCAGAAAGTATCTTAAATATTGCAAAGAAAATAAAATGTAGGATGATGAAAATTTTAATAATTATTAGATTTAAAAGATTGCCATTTTAAATATAAAAATTTCTAACTTTAGATAAGTTTTAACATTTAAGCAAACAAGACTTTGAAACTTAGAGAGTTAGGAATTACACTCTAGTTGTCCAGAGAGGGTGACTTACAATCACCAACTTTGTCAGGCTGTAATTCTCTTTGTGAACCGAATTTGGGCTTCTTGGCTTCAGTTGAGTTCTAATGTTTAATCAAGATAATTACCGAGACTTCCATAATATGATTCATTAACTTGTGATAGTATATTTTTGAACCGAAATAACCAGCCATGAACGCAAAGATTATTTGGAAAATTCCGATAAAACCTCCCAAATTTCCAAGAGCATCATAAATGGAGTACACTCTTCTCTCAAGGTTATTCACCTTACTACTCATTTTTAACTCGATGAATATTGGGGTGATGTGCAATCTTGGGTCTGAAGTCTGAGAAATTTGGTCCAGACTATGCGATTATCGAAGAAATACCTGTAAAACTCTCCTTGCTTAGTCACCTGGCTTGACCAGATAGGACTATCGTAAAGAGTGTACTCACTTTTAACGACATGCAACCCATAATCTATTAGCTCACCATAGGTAAGTCTAAAACGGCGGTCTTCAAATTTTCTTTTGATAGGTGTTTCGATGTCATCAAAATCCAAGAATGAATGGGAATGGACAAAGGACAAAATTGAACCAGTCACATTCCCTTCAATTTTTGAAAGAGAATGGCAAGTTCAGTCAGCAGAATTGGAACTAGTGCAATTTTTCACAGTGCCAATACAGTAGTTAGCCTTAATTTCTAAGGTATAGTATTCCAAGTTGAACCAGTTGCCTTTTAAGAGGTTATCCCTCTTTTTGAGACATCTATACCCCTTGTTTTGTTTGAAGAAGTTCTCTGTCCCATCTGGGAGCTATATTGACTGTTAGATTTTATTAAAAATAATCAAGCCTGGCCAAGAACTTTTGCCGAAAATGATCTCTAAAATGCTATTTTAATTTTTCTAGGAATTTTAATCAAGGTTAAAACTCCCAAAATTCGTACTAAGAGCTACTCAGAGACATGAAACTTACTCTAAAATGGGAAGAGTTGCATTCAACCACGTCAATGGAAGTTCTAAACTCGTTGATAACGTTATTGTCATAATCTCTGCTGTATCTGACTTCAGCGATATCCCACTGAATGAACTTCTTTTCCTGCTCAATTGTAAGATTCCAGAAGTTTGAGGTTGCGAATGCAATATCAAATCCTCCTTCATAGAGGTTATAAGTATTGTTAGTGGTTAATAGATCGAAAAAGATTTCATTTCTAGTAGTCTCCATCCGCTCTCGCTTGGCTACATCTATCAACTCAAGTATAAACCCAACGATGAAGAGAATCACAAGTACGATTGAAAAGATTCCTCCAACTCTGGTCTTGAAGGTAGTCTCTCCTTTGAAGGTCAAGGAGACTGGCGTTGGGAACAAATCCGCTGTTTTCAAAAATCCTGTCCATTTACTTAACATTTTCCTCTTATAAATTTCTATATTTTAATTATCTACTGGGGTTTTGGGGTTTTGGGGTTTTGGGGTTTTGGGG